CTAAACTAATGTCACATGAACACTGGGAAATGCCTCTTCCCAGCATCACTAATGCAATTCACACAGCTGGTGCCAAACTATACTGAAGACTCACCCATAACTGTCAATGCTAAACCACAACTTTCACTTTCCCTGCCACGTATCAGTCAGTAAAATATACTTTGAAGCCATGTGATCATTTCTGCTCCCCACCACCCCCATGTATAGCAAAGGCAAGTTGGTTGAGAGGAAAAGAGAGAAACGGGTTTGATGCTGGCAAACTAATTTCATTAGCATAAGTGGAGACTTCAGCAACTAAAAATTTTCTGCTAAAGGATTTCTGAAATACTGCTTGTTTAAGTGAGAGAATGAAGGTAGAGTCAAGTCCCTGAAAGATAAAAAAATATGGAGATAGCTAAGATTAATATGATTTCATGGTACAGAGTAAAAGATCATAACTTGTATGTGACTAGATCTCTCAGTAGGCCTGGGTTCCCAAATCCAGAGGAAATTATTATTAAAAAGTATTGTTAGACCAGTATCTGTCAGCAGAAGTCCCAGCACCCTGTCTTGGAGTATGCAACATGGATTTCAACAGATGACATCTGCTCAGCACCCATCCTGACATGTTTTCCTTAGATGATTTTTTTTTAATACCATCTTTTCCACACAACTTACGTTTTGGGGGGAAAACAATATATTTTCAAATATATTGGTTGTCTTAACTATTTCTTCTCAAGCTCTATCAAGACGGACAAACTAAAACAAATACTAGCAGATCCTAGAAGAACCCAACCATGTGTAACACTCTGACAGCAAAGCTCAGTTTCAGAGCCACAAAATTTAAATGAGGACACTGAGCAAAATATTCCCCTGTCTGAAGATATTGTAACGTAAGGCAAGGCAAATAAGGGAGACCATAATGCAAATACAAAGGAACTGTGTGAGGTTACTGGCTGACCCAGAAAAGAAAATTTAAAAAAAAAAAAAAAAAGGAAGAAAAAACCCCAAACTCTTACTTGTATGCAGAGCAAGAAACTGACTCATTTGAGTTATAAAATAGAAAAACTCAGGATACATATGAGGAAAATAACTTGATAAATCAGATTCATGTAGATTCTTGAAATCTGAGTATCTGGAAAAAGTCGAGTGACTTGATTTGGAAAAAAGAACATAACCTAAATGGTATTGCCTTTTTAAGATACCTGGAAGGCTCCTTGCCTGTCAAAAGCAGGTGACTGCCAATTTACCACACTGCGGTTTAGGACACTCAAAGCACAATTAAGGACACTGACCTACTGGAAAGTAGAGAGTTTGAAAACTATGGAAACTGGTCTACTAGGTTATTGAAATGTTAAGCTGAGGATGAACGGTATTGCTAACTGGAATTGGGAAGCCATTTTACATAACTCGATTTCCCATGTTTTAACTGACTGAAGAGGTGCTCACTATAATATTAGCTCTTTTATATATTCTGTAAGTGACCAAAAATATCTACCACTAAAACTTTCAAAAGAAGCTATAAATTAAAACAGTGAAATACCACAACAGAACTTAAATTAAATCAAATTTATTATTTTTAAGGAGTACCACAGCCATTTAGAGCTAGCAATAGCACTGAATCTGGAGGAATGGATTATGTCCTCCTTATCAGCACAGTACAAGTATGTTGGAGCAGATGGCCTCTTCTTTCATTTTTATTTTCTAATGCATTCTTGTTATAACCCAGGTAAATTTTTAATTGTCAGGCCACTTGAAAATGCACCAAGTAACGGTGATCTGGTTGGTGACCTTAATTATAGCTGCAGTGTTCATCTTGAAGGTTTCCTGTCATGCTAGCTAGGAAGCAGCATGAGAAATAAGCACATGCTTCCTGTCAAACCGCACCCAAGGCATGGAAAAGATCAAAGCACAAGTATTAGGTTTCTGGGATCAAATCAGCCTTTGAGCCTAAAATAACTATAAATAGCAAATTGTTGTTGTTATTATTCTTAGGGCCACTGAAAATTCTTATACATAAGTGGGGACTGAACTAGCAGTGCCTCCAACGCACCGAGCAATTTTGGAAGATTCTGGCTATGGAAAATTAAAAGACAAGTCATGGGATTTTGAATAGCATACGTGTTACTTCAGCAACGGTTTCACTGGCTACTCATTCCTTCCCAGCACTGGTGAGCTGCACTGAGAAACTGAACTAGCTTTAAAACACAGAAAAGGGGGGGGAGGAGGGGAAGGTTATTCAGTAGGCAGAATGCAAACCAGTTTCCACCCTAGCTGCCCACAGGATGATAAGGTCATGGTGTGAGGGCTGGTGTTAGCTGGATACTTGCAGCAGGGACTGGAAAAAGCAGGTATTCTGAGTGCCCTGGGCAGCACCGCAGCAGAACCCACCATCACGGTTTCAATTTTAACTGCTGTATCCTCTGCCTAGCTTCCAAGTTCAATCCTGGTGCAGGTCTGCATGTTGCCTTCTTCCCCGAGAGGGAACCCGAAGGTGATCAGAGCAAACCAGCAGGATTAGAGCACCACTGTATTCAGAATTAACAGTTGAAGAGTTGATGTAATCATGACGGTTTTAGTTTTTAGCTATTCTTAACAAAGGCCCAGCATCTTCAGCACAGCATCAATATTAGCCTGTTGCTGCAGTACCAGTGAAGCATTTTTCTTTCATGTTCACTCAAGCTAGCACTACACTCTTACTCCAGTCCCCTAAGCATCTAGTAGGAAACTGAGACAAGTTATGAAAAACCAACCACTGATGTCAGTAAGGGATATAATCTAGATTTTGAGTTTTGTTGGTGCCACAAAGTTAGTCAATTCTAGGATGGTGATTATTTTGGCTAAGTTTCTTGGTAGATTCAGTGAAATACTAATATAAGTTAGATTGCTTTCTGTAGCAATTGTATCTGACTATGGGGTCTTCTCTGTCTGCATAGTTGCAATACCTTTAATTAATCTATTAATTTTTTTGGCACATTCAGTACTCGTTCAACAGATCAAGAGTTCTTTTCATGAAATTGCCTTTCTAAACCATTTCAAATCTGCCACATCTGGGTGTCTTTTCTGCAAGTCAGTCTTAGGGAGATGAGTTATTTTGTGATTCAGTTTCCTCAGAAGAAAAGTAAATTCCTCCCTGTCTTATGGAGAATGTACGCTGAACAGCGATGGTGTCCCATTTCTCCTTCTGTACAGAACAGAACATACAGTGAGCATACACAGGATCTCCCTTGACTCTACCCAAATGGTAACATTTAGAGCACCTGGTCAAGCAGCAACTTCGCTGTCTATGTGGGCGGTACCATTAACAAGAGCAATACAGACGGGCATTCATTGTATCACACAAATGAGTAAGTACAAAGCAGGCCGGAATAGATAGGTAAAGGGGTTGATGCTCCAGCTGTCTAGCAGATTTCAAGCAATGGAGTCAGGAGTCCAGCCTGTGCAGAGAACTTCACTACCACTTTTTCAGTTTACCTGGACTAGCAGTTCTGGTCTCCCAGAAGCTACTCATGTACCTTGCCTTTTGGTGTAAATTCTTAAAAACAAAACCAGCTTCCTTTCTGCTAAAACTGTAGCATGACTTCCTGGAATTTCCCAGTACTATATGCAGTGAAGTTACATCCTGCTGCAGCTTGTGCAAACGTGATAAAGCACAACCATCTATAAAGGCATTCCCATAGACAAGCTGAAGGGGGGGGAAGACAGGGTATTTCCCTCCACTGCCTCAGCTCACAGGCCTTAATTATCTGTTTATGCATCATGTGAGAGCCTCTGAAGACACCCTGAACAGCTTCCAGGTGGTTTTGAAGGTGGGGGTTGGCAAGAAGAGGCCCTATTTGACATTAAATTGCTTGCCTCCCTAGCTGTTTGCATGATCAACAGTAAGGAGTTCATTATGTCTAAGTATTGGGGCACACCTTAGGAGAAACTTCATGTCAAACTACCCTTGGAAGAAACACACGCTGGCATCACAGCAACAGTTCCAGAAACAAACAAATTAGTCTATTTTGCCATTTGCTAGTGCCTATAATGAATTCCACTGTCTTCTCAGGAGTAAGATGAGACACCCGGCAGTTAGCTACACATGACAAACCTGAACTGATATGGAAAGAAATAATATCATCCCTCAGAGTGTCCTGTTCTCTCATCACCATGCTCCTGTACCACACCGCAGCAGCTAAACTAAGAGGCCTAACTTGGAACAAAAGTCATCCAGATTTCTTCCTTTCCCTTCCACCAAAAAGAAGCAAATAAATAAAAATCAGCTGCACCAGCTAAACCTAAACAAGCATAGACATATGAATGAATGAACATATGGAGAAAAGGTAGGAACTTGTCTCAGCTGCAGCTTCAGCTGTGTATGGCAACCTACAGTAAAAACATTTTAGGTCTCCAGCATTAGGGTTTTTCTGGTGGTGCTTTTAGAAAGACTTTAACTGTAGGAAGAGGCAATATAATTTAGAAAAATATCTTTATTTTTGCATACTCAATGTTAAAGGAATCTGGAATGTAAGTTGAGCTTGACAGAAAGCAGAAACCAGCAGTTCCATCAGTGACATTTAGACACTACTGCAGTTCTTTTAAGTTTTTGAGAAACTTGAGTCATTTTGGATCCAAAAGCAAGGTTCCTGATACAGCAAGCATAAAATTACAAGTCTAACTGATCAGGCATAAAACTGAAGTTTCCCTGAGAAGATGTAATTACAAACTAGTGTATAAACTTTATATCACATTATCAGGGGAGCTTAAGAGTACAAAAGCAAGATTTGGCTGCAAAAATTTTAACACAAGTCCTTAATACTCCATGCTGAAGATGATTTTTTCAGGACAATTAAGAAATACATATTACAGAGCTACAGAAATCAGATTTAAATTAAATTATGACAGCTGGCTTTGGTATATTCCCTTTTGTGTAGTTTTCACATCAATTCTAATGTTATTTTCCTGAGATCTTTCAGCACTCAGTATGAAGTCTGTGCAGTCCAGCTGCTTTTTTCCTTCCCTCCCATCCCCACATGAACAACATGCATTTTCCAAGCCTTAAAACAAATAGTTTAGCCAAAGGAAGTCCATTAATTACATCTTTTAGATAATAAATATTCCAAACAGTTGGCCTTCCAAAAATTGCTGTCTTCGATTTTGTACCCAAAGTTCCAATCCTCAGTGTGCAACACAAGGCATCCCCATTTTCACTCGAGATATGTCTTCTCTCCCCCTTGTCCATGGACAAGGCACAGAGGGCGTCTTCACCAACACAGTGACAACTATTATACCCATCAACAGTATCAGTTTTACATCTTAAAGTACATAGCTCTACACTATTTGTACCTATGTTTTGTAACAGGAGCATGCAACATTTCAGTTCTTTTTCAGATACAAAGCTTTGTGTCGCAAATACTCTTCCAAACATTTCACTGCAAAAGGGTCAACATCAGTGTCAAACTTATTAGCAAAGAAGTGGTGGTTTCGTAGCATCCAGTTCAGGTCTCCTGCCCCAAAAACACAGACAGAGCGAACATGAACTCCACTGCATGGTGGGTAAGGTGCACCTTTGGACACGTCACCTTCAAAGTACTGCCACTTGACAAACCTGGCCAGCGCATTCATGTCAGAAACATCGTACTTGTTACTAGAAGAAACTGCACCCGGGACTTCAGGGATTCTCTGAATTGTTGCCCACAGGTACTCATCTGGGCTGTAAGTGTCTTTTGCCCACTCAATGAACTTAAGTATTTTGCTGCTTTCTAATACGTATTCTACAAATCTTCTGCTAACTACAAAATAGGCACTACCAGAAAAAACTGGAGTACTGAGAGGTGGTAGTTGTTTGTCTATGCCTGTATTCTTTATTCTACCATCAATAATCTCATGGTGTTTTTTCCACCTTACTTCTTTATAAACAGGCATTTTTTCCGTTTCCAAGCTGTTTTCACCTTTAAGGGCTTTTAATTTCTCTACTATTTCCTGGTTGGTCTTTATAGGAAAGTCCATGCCACAGAGGTTTATTAGGTATTTCCAGTTTGAACTTCTTCTGTAGAGATCTTTCATGCAGTTAATATCTGCCTGCACCCTGCTCCAAGAAGCATATACAACATTCTCTAACTGGCTGGAAATAAAGACATTATCAAAACATGAGACTATTCCCTTCACAGCAGCAAAAAAAGATTCTGGAGCCTTTTTGTCAACATGAATGCAGTAAAAATTCTGAGGGGCATAGATTGATCTTAGAAGTCTATCAAGCATCTCAATTTTGTGATAAACCACTATTGAGTAAGCAATTGGAAATTCTGCTTCTTCGCTGCTGAGAGGTTCCATAATGTATTTTCTAGTCTTGGTGAAGGAGGCACAGTCTGCTGTCATGTTAATATAATCATTTGTTGTTAGTCTGGGGCGTTTCTTAAATGACACCGACAATGTCTCAAGCTTTACCTTTTGAATTTCTTCTATATCCCCCTCTATAATCTTGGTGCAGTTAACATTGACAACAGGATCTTCTTCTGTCAGTTCTAGATGTCTCCGATTTAAGAAGTCTTGTTTCTGGTTGACTTTCAAAACCGAAATTATTACTAAAATAAGAGTTAGACACAATAAAAGCCTGAAGCGCAAGTTGTGGCAAAACCGTAATTTCCTCTTCAGCATTTCAAATACCAGGTAGCTCTGCAGGGCTAAAAAAAAAATTGCCCTCCACTCTGCTCATATCAGCTTCAACAACTTCAGGAAAAAACAGTTTATGTTTCTCAGGAATTTGGTGACTTTCTCAGGGAGATGGAAGGAAAAATCCTAAAATAAAATGAAACATGACTGTCATTCAAAGACTAAAAGGTTTCTTTTAAAAATTACTGGTTAATAATTGCATTCCTATTTAGTAACAGTAAGAAGGTGCATAGCTCATCCAAAAATATTCTGTTGAAAATTGATGAATAAAATTAGTTTATTTTTCCAGAAAAAGATTGGGAGAGGCAGATAGGTTTTGTGAGACACTATTTCTGTTGTACTAAGACTACAAACTGAAGTTCAATAAGAAAACAGAGCTGATTCAGCTGCATCTGACAAAATTAAAGCCAGTAAGTCAGATACATTGCTGAGAAGCAGGTATCTGACGTTAATTCACACTTCAGAGTTTGACACAAATGTCTTATACATACTTCAGTAATGACAGAGATTTCATTATAATTGTAACTTACCACTCACTTCCTAGGAGTCATGCTATATCTTCTCAATGGGAAAGCAGGTCCCTGAAGCCTTTCAAGATTTTTATGTGAGATACAGTCTCTTCAATATCCTGCAGACGAGCTTAGAAATACCATCAGGAAAGTGCTGATGAGGAAGGGAGAAAGAAATTAGTATTGTATAGCTCCTCAGCTTTCAGAGTTGTGGGAACAGCTGTGACTGAATTGCTGAAGTACCTTTTTAAGGTGAAAGGCAACACTTACAGCCTAAAGCTGATTTTTGTTAACTCACTGCAAATGCACAAATCTAAGAGCACAGCAGTGTTGTGTTACCATTGTTTAAATGCACTTGGTTTTGTGATTCCAGCAACTGATTTTACATTTTTATGCTCCAAGTCTGGGTTGCAACAAGATTTAGGATACGCCAATCTTATTTTCATCTTTATTTCACAGGCACTACATTGTTTTTGTTTGTTAGTCCCATTTCTTCTTAAGCACCTTTTTCCTGTTTCAGTATTCTGTGAAGGGATAACGGCACAGCTATGCAGCTGCTATAGCTGTTGAGAAAACTGCAGCCTAGAACTGGATTACAGAACTGGGTGTCTTTTTTTGTAAGTACTACCTCATGCAGGTAAACTGATCAGGAACAGGATATCCTTAAACAGCTTACTTTGCCACTCAAATGCCATCTGGACTCACAAATTCATTGCCTGATAACGCAGTGCAGGTTTGAACTTCAAACCAACCTCTAATTGCAAAAGCCAAGAGTTTCTAAAGAAAGTCTTCCAAAATTTTCATCTGTAAGTTAAAAGGTTAATGAAATACTGAGGTATTTGAGATACAGCTCCTTTCATTTTTACTACTTTCAAGAAAAATTTAGTGCCTCTGAATAACTTTCTGAACAGTTCTAAGAATAACTGCTACCCCACAAAAAAGGGTAAGAAAATTTAAGAAAAAGAAGTGTGCGCTGTGTCCACTTCTGGGTTTTGCTGTAGGCCGTTCAGTGTAAGATTTTTCTTTTTTTCCCTTCTTTTCTTTAAGCTACCCCAGTATCACCTTAGCTTTTAATTCTAAGACTGTTGCTTTTAACCTGCTACTTGCAAATCTCAGAAAGGGATGCATGTAAGAAACTGAGGCCTGGCATCACAAGAGTTTTTTGGTAGTAATGCTGCCATGGGGATGCACTGCACATTGGATCCACCACTACGCCCACAGCATTGCAAACTGACTGGGGGAATTGATCCATGTGTAGTAGGTGGGGGGGAAGGTGCAGATCACTGCACAAATGTCTAGCACTGCTATAAGGATCAGCAATATTTTAAGGAAGTACTATAACCAAGTATTTTGTAATTCAAGCCACCAGCAGGCAGAGACCACAAACTATTTGTGACTAACAGCATTATACAAACATCTTTCTTACTATGAAATGTACTCTGTTTTCAGAGTTACAGCTGTAAATATTTTAACCTGCATCTCTAATTTATCTTAGGGAGATGGACATCTGTACGAAGTCTGGTTTAGGTGTGTTTAGGTGTATAGTGAAGTCAGGCTGGAAGAACTAAAAGTGTGACCCTTAAGGTAAGTATGCAGGTGAACTAGTGTGCAGTTACAGCTGAAAGCATAGAGAGGTGCCTTTTAAGTACTGGGGCCTCACACATTGAATTAAAAAAAAAAAAAAAAGGGGGAGATTCCACAGTGTTGTAACTTTCAGTTTGAAATGCAACATCAAACACAATGACATAATTTAGAGCAAGTTTTCACATGCTTAATAACACACCACACGCTTGCTTACTTGATGTCCTACTAATTTTGACTAGTAGTTCTAATCCAACAAAAATAATACCCATCACATATGAAATTAACAAAGGAAGGATAGTAGCTATGTGAAAGTCTCCATAATCTCTATCAAGTATGTATTTCCATAGGGTGAAGCTTATGATACCGGTCACCCTTACGTTACTGTTTTCTGACATCTTAGGAATGAAGACTTTTCTAGAACATAAAATGTACTTCACTTATATTTGTGAAGCTTTAGCTGACAGAAGCTGGAACCCTTCTTTCTTTAGGATGAGAGATAGCACTACGATTTTATACCATTCTCAGTCTTTATAGGAGCACTAGCATTGCGGAGTAACACGCTTCAAGAGGACTGCCACCCCCTCCCTCTTTTTTACAATGCTGGGAGACAGAGCCTTAACCAAAAGCTACCATTGCGGTCTTCACCTTCTACAATTTCCAAAGAATAAAGCTTCCTAAGATGTCTTTCCTGCTCCTGTTTTAGAATAAAACTTAGTTGAAAGCGGGATAAAGAATCTCTTACAGAAAGGCCTTGTATACCCAGCTGGGTGCAATTCCTCTATTGTTCTGAGCTCAGAATAATCAGACCCTGTATTTCCATTATGCCAAAATTAGAGATCTGCAAACATCTACATGTTAACATGGTCTTATCTTTAGGTGGAGGTTTTCCCCCACAGGCAAATTTCTCACTGACACGCTCCTTCCTCTGAACCATCTTAATAAGTTACTATTTGTCTATGCTTGCATTCCTTTTCTAAAAAGTCCTAAACCTTGATCATATCCCATTCTTCGCAAAAGCTGGCCTTTACAGGATAAGGAAAGATTTGGTACCTTTCATCTAACAATGTACCTGGGTTTATGTGTTCATAAAGTTTTATAAGCCCATAATACTCATTAACATAGCTTAACAGTGCATTCATTAAAGCTTTTAGCACCTTCTTCTCAAGCTCTGCGTAGCTTTAGGGTGCACACTAGAGAACATGGTGTCAGAGGAAGCACTTTGCACTGTGGGAGAGCAGGAGGGAGGTTCGTGCAGCCACAGAGAGAAGACTTGAAACTGCAGCCTTGGTCTTGCACTCAGCAAAACTTCAGCTGCAGAAGTTACGTGCTTGACCTGCTTCCTTCTTTTACTGCCTCCTCCTCAAGTCAGACCTGTATTTCTGATGCAGTAGTCATTTAAAAGGGGAAACTTATAGCAGTTGCTGGTATTTGGAGGAGTTAGTAAAAAGGTTGAGCTAGCTGCTCACTTCCCTCTTTCCTGACAAAATTATTCTTCACTGCTCTATACAAACTGTACAGTATGACTAAACGCAAACCCAAGTCAATTTCAACTTGATTTATACTAAAGACTAGTGTTCTCCATTTAAGTAGACCTTATGGAAAGAAGGATTACTATACCCAGATTAAATCTCCATTTCTGGCACCTCTTCTATGTCAGAAGGCAAACCACTTGGATCACCTGCCTCTTAGTTTATTCATCTGTGAAACAACTACTTATTACCTGGCAGTTTGGGAGATATCTTGGTAAAAGTCAGGTTCTGATTTAACTTTCCTAAGTGTAAAGGTTCTACTGTAAAACAGCTGATCTTGTTAACAATGTCTTTACCTGCTTACTATATAAACTTGTGTTAACCCTACATGCTAAATTATTAATTTGACCCATGGTACTGACTGAAATGACTCAGCCATAGACTACATGGGTACTTATGCCAAAGGAGCTGAAGGGGAATAACCTTCATCAAAGAAAGGCTGGAAGCACGGACAGGAGGGAGCCACACCCTCCAAGCCCAGCCCAGGGTGTGATTTTACTTCAGTTTGGCCTCACCCATCCTTAAAAGCAAACAGAAACCTGAGTCTTCAGGGAAAAAAAGCCCAAAGAAAAGACTTTTTTTTACAAGAGTATACCACAGCTTGGATGAAACCAAAGTTCACGTGGAGGTTTTATACAGGCAGGCTGGACTGGAGCTGCAGCAGGTAAAAGCAACATCCACACCTCGGGGCTGATGCCCAGAGGAGGAGGTCTGCGAGGGCCCGGCGGCATGGACCCCCGGCAT